ATATTCCTGGGCAATTAAAAAGGAATGACGTACTGATACATGCTACGACATGGATGACCTTTGAAAACGTCATGCTAAAGGGAAGAAGCTAGTCACAGAATAGCATCATATATTGTATAACTGCATTTATATGAAATGTCCAGAAAAGACAAATCCATAGATACAGAAGTGTAGTGCTGGTTTCTTGTGGTTGGTGGAGGGATGGTGGAACAGGGTACATAGTTTCTTTCTTGGATTTAAAAACATTTTAAAGTTAGATTGAAGTGATGGTTGTGCAATTCTATGAACAAGATGAATACAGGTTGTGAGAACAAGTGAAGAATGGTTCCTCACTGGGGGTCATGAAAAAGGCTGGGAATGGTGGAAGCCATTTACTGTGATGGGAATGACTAGAAAGAGGAGAAGATTCTGTCTTATGCTTGAGTTTTGTATATTCTTCTTGGACATGAAGCAAAGATGTCAAGTAGTCAGGTGAGTATGTCAAGCACTGTTGTGAGCACTGGAGATACGACAGCATATAGAACAGCTAGGGTATGTCCTTATGGCTCTTATATCCTTCCAGTGATTAGGGCAATATTGGAGAATTATCAATCCAAATATGTATTTAAAATTTATGGTATTAGATGAAAGATCCTAAGGATTGGCTGCAAATAGAGGAAAAAACACTGAGGGTTGAGGCCTCTGTTACTCCAACGCTGTTTTGAGTCAGGTATTTGGGGTAAGCATGCTACCCTAGATGCCATATTATACTCTGTCATGGTATAACACACTGCTAAAACACTAATTGAGCTTATTGGTATTTATTTTTGAAAAGAGCTTATAATCATTTCTTTATCCTTTATATAATTTTTTTTTTAGAAAAAAGAAAAGCAATATCCATGCCAATGTATTGATTTAGGTTGATAGATCTAAATTTGGAGACACTGTAAGAAACATAGCAATACTTTTCATTAAAAATAAATCTGTATGTAATGGCACTCTATAAATCTCCATCGTTTGCTTGAACTCAGATCTGAAGACTTTTACTTCTCTAAACTAGAAAATGATAGGATTCTTGCGAGGCAAGTTTGCATAAAGCTACATATAGTGTTGTGGGGAAAAAGTGAGACAGTCAAAACCCCAGCTGGATATAACTAAAGGTAAAATATTATTCACGTTTTTCCTTTAAGTGCAGATTTTCTGAATTATTATTCAAGAAACACCCTCACCTACCTTCTTCACTCTTCAAATGCTTCTCTAATTCATTTCATTAGGTTCAAAAAAGAAAAAAAAGAGGAGGAGAATAAGAAGGAAAGGAAAGAGAATATGAATGAGAAGAAGAAAGAGAAGAAAAAAGCAGGAAAAGGAGAAATAGTAAATAAGATAATAGTCTTTTTTTCTAACACTATTCAAAAACCAAATTGCACATGGAATTAAATGCATCTCCTGTAGATTTCTGGAACTACTTCAGCAGATATTACAGGCACATACATATTACAGGCACATACACATCCCACATCATAAGCTCACTTCATTACTATATATGTATCCCAATTTATACAATGTGCTTACATATCTATATTTTTAATGTCAAAGATACTATTTTATACAAGCTGGTCAGGGATGAGATGGCCAGAACTGCTCTTTTTATAGAATCATGACCTTTTTAAATTTATTTTTTACAATATTCTTGTTTAATGTTCTAAGAAATTCTTTGGTTTATGGTCCACATGTTACGTAGCATCAAAGGTTATTCAAACAAAGCCAATTCAAACCTGATATTATTGCATAGCTTCAAGAACACATTTCATGTTACTTATATCCCATTTAAGTTCTGAAATAGACTATATATGGCTACAATAAGCCCATTACTGAAAAAAAGCACTTTAGCAACATGTATAAACCTATATGAGATTATACATCTGCACTAAGCACATACATTATCTTTATTATATTTATTATATTTATCTCCTCTAATATCATGTGTGCCATTTACATTTAAGAATAAAGAATAAAGATGAGAAAACCATTCTCATTTTAAGACGCCTTTTCACAAGTATTGCAAAATTATCAGATTGACATAATGTGTAGGATACAGATGTAATTTAAAAGTCTTGCCATGGTTCCTATCAATTCCCCATAAATAACTACAAAATGCTATTCTAATTCAAAAATAAAGAAAAGCTGGAAAACAGACTAACTTTAATATGTATTCTCCTACATAATCATACAGAAAAGCCTAGATGTGATTAATTAATCTGTATTAATAAGAAAACCATTATTTACATCCCAAATAGAAAAGTTTATCTACAGTTCTCAACTAACTTAATATTTGCTCTCTATAGATTGCTGCAGGGACACAGTACTGAAAAATTGTAAATAACATTAGCACATAGCTTCTATGAGGTGGCACAACTCTAACATTTTTCATATACTATAAAAATGCACATATAAATAACCCACCAAGCAAATATCAATGCAAATCTATGTATCATTTGTCACTGAATAAAATTAATATCTGTGACTAGCACAAGGATGGTCAGTATATCTTTGAAATGGTACAAGCTTCTCCACATTTGAAATTCATGTGAAGTGTAAGCACACACCTCTCAGAAGAACAAGTAAATAGAAATCATAGAATCCTGGAAGAGTGGCAAAGCTTAGAGATCCTACAATCCATCCTCTTCACTATGTATGTGAACAGTCTCAACGTGTGGAAACAGCCTAGAGGGCAGTGTTGTCCACATCCCAAATTTTCAACAGTCCCCCTGGAGAAACTGTCATTCTGAAGTATCCAAAGGCAATCCAATGTCAAACGTATTATTTACATACTAATTTAGCAAGAGCGTCCAGGGTTTCCTTTGCTTTTGACACAACAGATGCTAAATACAAAACTAGTTTCACACACACCAAATTTTGCATTGTCTTTCCAGTCTCAACTCCTCAATTCTGGCGTTTTTCACTACACTACTATGAATTCTGCTGCATAATTGTGGCCCAGACACAAACTGACCCCTTATCCTATAATGTTAAATCAAAACAAGTGTTCTAGGTTGTCTTTGGGGGCAGGAGAAGGGTGGTGTGGGAGAGAAGGAAGGAAAGAAGGGAGAGAGTAATAAAAGAGAGAGAGAGAAAGGAAGGAGAAATGAAAGAAGGAAGGGAGGGAAGGCAGGCAGAAATGCTGTCTTGCTACTGCTGTTCCAGCAAGCTGGTTAATTGCATTTGTTTCTTATATCTCCAAACACCCTGTATATTAATTACATTCTGTAACACCAAGCTCTTCTGATTTCCTCTGTCACTTCCCCTGAGCAATGTAATTGTATTCCTCCTAGCAACGCACTGATTTAAAAATACATATATTAAAAAAAAACCCTTGGTGATAATTCTGTAGTCTAATGTATAGTTTATACATGCATTTCTGTTACTGAGATATGTAAATTCATGGTTTATGAGGTCATATTCTTTAAAAAGTTATACCAAAGTCTTCTTATCATGAAAATCAAACACAGCTGGGACAAATAGGTAGCCCTATTTTGTTATGGTGATGTACATGTATTTTAATGTACTGAATAAGAAATGCATGAAAATGGTTATAGATGTGGCTGTAGTATCATTCACAATAACTAAGCCCTAAACATCTACTAGACTGGGAAAAGAGAGAAGCAGTGCACACACATGCATCCTTCCCCTACTATCACTGGGGGGCAAAGATACTCATGTAGTCCATGATTTAAAACAGCCACTTGACAGTAGGTAAACTCATCTGTATTGCCTCATGTTTATAGAAAGCCTTCCTTTTTGAGTCCAATACATTGGGTTCTATGCAGCAGTAGCTGCCAGGAACAAAGTTAGCTACCACAGATGGGCAAAAATAAGCAGTGTCCCAAATAATGAATTCATCCACAATGCAAATGGTGGAGCAAAGTTTACATGGCAACAAGCTATTATGATGGCTCAGACAGTTGGACTAATACACTTTTTAGGTTCTTTACAAGTACCATAAGTAATTAAAAAACTAAAGTACTGAAATCCACATTTCCAGTCAGGAAAAAAATAATTACCTCGTCCTTCCCTTATACCAATTCTTTCCATGGATATAAAAATTAAAGTCTCTAGAAGGTTAATAGCCAATATTCTTTTACCTTTTTTCTTTTGAATACAAATCAAAAAGCATGTTAATGATTATTTCCACTCTTCACTCAAGGGAGCCACAAAAAAGGATTTTGCAATAGTCCCATAATAAATTGACATCCTGTGAAAACATCCAAGTAAACCAAATCTGAACAAAAGACAGGAGAATCAGAGGCAGAATGCTGTCGGCTTGACAGACTGACTCAACCTAGAAGGAGACACCTCCAGCACCTGTTTAAGACCCCCATTGTGTTTGCCCACTGGGGACTGAGCTAAGTGTTCCACTCCTGTGGCCAGACCATCGCTGATGCTTCCCCCTTCGTGGAGCCTCGCCCAGTCTCACTTTTGACAGTTTTCTCCCTAGGATCTAAATTCTTCATTCTGATTTAACGCTAGGAGAGCATTCATGGCACACAGGTGATACACATTGATCTCAGTCTCAAATTCCTAACCCATTGAACCTTCCTTAGAGTGTCTATTACCGTATTTCTTCACTTGAATGTCTAAGCCAAAGTTCAGACACAAGAGCAAACATCAAATAGAGAGCAGGCACAATAGTATTAGGCTCTTTCAGGAGATTCACTTTAATACTTATTTTTCTAACAAATCCAGGAGCCCATCACTTACTATCCAACTCCTTAATTAATTAAGTAAATTACAACAACAATCACAATAGGTGACTACTAAAATGTTCCACTTGCAGCAGTTTAGAAACAAAAGACTTAAATAAAACCTCTGCCCCCAAGGAGCCCGTGCCTGGCCAAAACGGACTTACAGACATACTGTCATTTTATTTATAACCCACCTCAAATTAAAAAAGAAATCGTTTGGGGGGTTGGGGGTGAGGGGTGCAAAAAAAAAAAAAAAAGATAAAAGCATTTTTAACTTACCATCAACCCGAACATATAAAAATCCACAGAGCAGTAGTTGTGTAAACATCAGCAGACTCATTTTGACATATTAAAAAGGATCCAGATTGTTTAAGAAACCAATCCCAGAGAGCAAAAGTACAAAAATAAGTATCAAAAAAAGAGGTAGGTCCAAAGTTTAGACTTCCCTAGATACTAATTAAAGTCAAGAAGAGCAAATCGCAAGATCAGACGGGGTTGGTGGAGAGGTCTTGAACGGGGCACGTTTAGATCCTTCCAAATTAACAGAGGGCACTTCAAAGGCTGCTGTATTTCCAACACTCTGACTTCCTAAGTTCCCACAAATTCAGCCCAGCCAGAGGTATTATTTAAGTGTGTCTAACTCTCTCTCCTTAGGCTCCCTTGCAATCCAAAGCCAAGTTCTTTCTTCAGAAGTCAAGATGATGAAGGGGGAGGAAAAGACCTAATTCCTAGAAAGTGTTCCACAAACTTGCCAGCGCTCTGCCGAAAAACCATTGGCCTGCCTACTGGTTTTCTTTCCCCCGGTTTCCTTCTCCGTAGCAGCTCCACGTCCGGAGTGATTTTTTTTTTTTAAATATATATATATATATATATATATATATATTTACTTAACTTCCATAATAAGGATGTGTCAAAGCAACACTTTGCAGGCGGGCAGACTTGGCGGGCCTCTCCTGTGCAGCCTCGTTGCCTCCCTCCACCTCTCTTGTTTCCAAAAGAGAGGAAAAGGGAAATCAGGACGATTCGGGTGGAGAATCCGAACTCCTACGTGGTGGGGCTGCGGGGAGGGACGGAGGGAGGGGCTGGGCTGAGGCTGAGGCTGCAGCCACCCCCGGGGGCGCCTCTGAGCGACTGTGCACCCGGCGGCGGCTGCGGGAGAGCGCAGAGCCGGGCGCGCGAGCCCAGCCCGGGAGCCGCGGAGAAAGGGAGCGCTGGGTCCAGCGCCAGGCGCGGTCAGCCGCTCGCCCGGGTCCCCCCGCCGGTCACCGCGCTCCGGCCGCCGCCGCTGCTCGGGCAGCCCGGCAGCAGAGCGTCCGCCTCCTCCAGCAGCTGCCGCGGGTGGAAGGACTTAGAGGAGGGAAGGCGAGGAGGCGGGAGGGGAGGGAGGAACGAAAGCGGCTTGGAGTCTGCCCCGGGGAGGGGCGGGGGCGGCGAGGGGGTGCGCCGAGCCCTCCACCTCCAGACTCCGGCACCGCCCGCGCAGGGGAGCGGGGAGGGGGTCCCAGAGAGCGGAGAGTCCCAGCGGGACGGAGAGGAGCAAATTCGGAGAGCCCCGCCGGCTGCCCAGCGCCGAGGCCACCGGTCAACTCTGTCCCCTCCCCGCGCCTCCCGGGGCCCCCTCCTTCCCGCCTCGGGAGGGGTGAGGTGGGCTCCAGCCTCCTGCTCCTCGCCGCGTCCCGTTTAATGGGCAGGTAATTTTCTCGGTGAGTGATTTCATGGAAGCCCTTCCTAATTATTTATCCCTCCGTCTGCCGGAGCCGCACGCGTTTTCTTGAAAAAGATCACCCTCCAGGACCCAGGGCGCAGCCTCATTACCCGTTAAAATCACACAAACACTCACTCTTCACCTTTTAACCAAATGAGAAGCCGAGTAGGGGGGAAGAAAAGGAAAGGAAGCAAAATATCAGCACCTTTTGGACCGGAAAGCCTGTGTGTGGATGCTTTCTATATGGTTAAAAAGCACAAGGGGTGGGTGGGGGGAGGAAGGGTGCAGAAATCTCTAACCTCTAGCGACTCATTTTAGTCAAGATCTATGGCCCCCTGCGGCATCCCCGAGAGGAGGAGGGAAAGGAAGGGGTGGCATCCCCTCTTATGTTTCTCAGTTGCCTTTGACCCTTCAAAGATGAGTTTGACGGGCGATCGCGCCCTGAGAGGGAGTTCCGAAGGAGATGCTAAGGATGGGGGAGCGGGGATCACAAGAGTTTGGGGGCGAGGGATCCCCGAAGTCTTTACCCTCCGGAGATCAGCACCTCCAGAAGGAATTTCGGAACACATAAGCTCTGGTTGTGGAAAGCCGAAAACCCAGCTGAGCTCATGGAAGCTCAAAAAGAAGCCGAATTTCAGCCCCAAGACGACAAAACCCTGAAAATTAAGGCCAAGACTACCAAGTGATGCCATTCAGGACCGGGGATGATTAGGGAAGGCCAGGTGAGATCAAAGGGATGCCAGTGTCTGCGGTGCCCCGGTGTGGCCGGTGTGGCCGGGCCCACGTGTGATCACAGGCTTGCTGGTAGCTGTTTGATGCTTGTTCAGATGATTAGAAGGCGGCTTATAGGAACTCACGCAGGTCCCTGAACTGAGCTAAATGCTGGATGGTGAGTCTTTAGTTCCCCCTACTGGAAAATATTAGGAAAGAGTCTCTCCTTAAAGGGCAGTGTGAGGAAGAGCCTTTGTTTGGTGGATATATTTTGGGGCTGCTACTTAATTTAGTTCTCCTTTGCATATTATGTGCGTTGTGTGTGTGTGTTTTTTTTTTTTTTTTTAAAAAAAAGGTCAGCGACATTCAAGCAATTAGGAGAGGTCTTATGGTACCTCAGCATGCTTGAAAATTACTGTAATGAAATAGCCTTGCAAAAGAATGAAACAACTGCTCTTCTTGTAAAGCATTAAGAGTAATTTCAGCACACTTTTGATCTACAGTATTTACTTGTAAAGAAGAAGAGTGCATTAGGTTGCTAAAGTTGAATCACTTGAATTCTCACAGTGATAATTCTGAATGTGCTATTGTTTTAGTACCCCATGGAAAAAGGCTTACCCATTAGGGAGAAACTAGTTCACTCCTCACCACCCCAAAGACCCAATAAGTCTAATTTTGATAATACTGTGGTCTAGCAAAATCCAAAATGGCACTGGATTAACATCTCTTTTATCTCTGGAACAGGAAAATAATTAAAATTCTTCAAAACTTTCATTTTAAACACTTGGGCTTGGTTTGCCCGGTTCAGGATTTGCAATGTCTAGCTCATGTCTCCAAATAATATACACCACCAGCTTATCTCGGGCAAATTTCCTTATGTGGGTGAATTTTTAAAAATATTCTGAAAACAGAGTCTCCCTAATAAAATAATGCAGGAATTAACAAATCACAAGACCTTCAATTTTAAGATGGTTCACGGAAAGGAAGACATCAGAGTATTTCAACTAAAAGTGTTTTCTCATGACTATTTATTTATCAGGCAAAATATAGATTCTATTTTAGACTTGATAGACTCACCATCTGCAAATGCCTTTCCTTAAGTAACCTATAAAATCACTCAGAGGCACAAAGAGCGTGTGTATGGGAAACAGAAGGAATAGATTGGGTGAGATCAACATACCACCAATTGCCATTGTCCTTTAGGGCAGAAAATGTTGCCTTACTCACAGAAAGTTATCCTTGTGTAGGATATGACAGATTACATCATACAGAGAAGAGCTTTATATAAAGAAAATTTCTTTGGTTATACTAGCGTTTTTACCAAGCATCAACATTTTGCATTCATAACTACTTTACTTACTAAAAGTGAAAAGCAAGCTGGTGATTTAGACTGGTACCATTTTTTAAATTTTTTTGGTTATTATTGTTTGCCATACACTAGCTACCTTATGGAATGATGTCTGTACCAAAGGAATTTTGGAGTCTATATTTTCTGCTTTTCTTGTAGTCAAGTTCATAACTGGTTTTTTAAAAGAATGCTTTGTGAATATCTCATTTGATACAAAGTGTGATAAAAAATATTATTTTTTAAGAATCTCATCCCAAATGAGAGTTTAGGATTATGAGCAAATGTCTCACACTAAATTAGTAACAGTAACAAGTCTCTAGTCAGAAATTTGTTATGGGCAACACTAATTCCAAATGAACAAAGACACTACCTTCTGAGATGTAGGATAAGATCTATACTTGAAAATGTGCATATTTCAATTATACTTAACACACTTTTAGTGAGCACTGCCTATAAAAAAATGGATTTCTCACTCCAAATGTTTAATTAAAGGCAAGTCTTTAAAATCTGAAGCTGCTAGTAGAAAATTTTTTTTTAGCTAAAATTTTTTTAGCTAAAAAAAATTTTTCAAGGTTTTCCTTAAGCCAAAAAGAAACAGCAATGGCTAAGAACAATGAAGCCCCATGACCACCAAATCAGAGAGCTTAAGCTACAGAAAAATCAAATGGTATCTGGCTTCAATGTCTTTCTAAATATAAATTGTTCCTTCTTATCTAAACAAGCAGCTGAATAGATAAATGCAGATGGAACTCTAGACTTCTTTTGTGTAAAACTTGCAATGGTATTATATATTCAAAGTGTGCCTATATATTTTAATACATCTTAAGATCCTAAGAAAATATCATTAACTGTAATTTGGATAAGGTGATCAAATGGCCTTCTTTGCGATTGAACTTCTGAGTAGTGGTATTCCAGGAAAAATATAAAATAACCATATGAAGGAAATATGCACCGTGTAACATGTTAAGTATTTCTTTTTCATACCAGATTCCCCAAGGATGTGGTAAAAACTGCAAAATCCTAATCTGCTTTTTTACTGTTTTCAACATGCTCGTGTTATAATTGCAAGGCGGCATATATAATAAAATCAAAGGTTTGATCCAATGATACTAATTTTAACATGTACTGCCATGTGCTGAGTACTAACCACATGTCAGGGAATTCTCATTTTAAAAAGTTCGCCATATTGTTAAATTTCTACAAGAGCCTTATGTGGTTGATATAATTCCCATTATACAGATGAGAAAAATGAAGATTAGATAACCAATCCACGTTAGTTAAAGGAACAATCTTCCTTTGAATCCAGACCTGAATACAAAAATCTATGTTCTCAAGAACCTCTTGGGATTGATCTAAGACACCTACCATGAAATAGTGTAACAGTATAATACATTACTCTGATCAATTTAAGAAAACCCCAGTGTACCAAAATATATATAAATGTGATCATTTTTTCTTCAAAATTGAAGACTATTTTTAAAGCCATTGCTCAGCTCGAATTTTTCTATATAAGATTGTCTTATTATACTATACAGAAACGTCACATTAAATGACACATGTGGGTTATTATCTATAAAAGGACACAGGACAACTAAGGTAAGCGAAGCATTAAAAATCCTGATCATAGAGAGATGGCTCATTTGTCCTTACATGATTTTTTTTTTATTACACTTGACCTTGTCCCAGAAGGGATTTGCAGGAGCCAATGTAAAATGAATATTGTTCTACTGAAATATATTGTAACTATCTGATTTGAATCAATTCATTTTGAAGTAGTCACCAAGACTTGTCTCTCTATATAAAGTCTGTGTACCTTGTTCTGAATAGCATTTTTGGCATATTACATGGAGTTATTAATCTGGAATTTAAGTTGACTAAAATACAATAATATTTCATTTAAAAGAGTGTTCTCTACAAAATACAATCACGTTTCCAAGA